TTAATAATTTTAGAAAGGCCAACAAACCGAAATCTTACATAGAAACACGTAAAAAAGTGTCAATCGGTGTTTCCGACAGATATTTCTATATCTATGGTTTGCGAAGGTCTTCGGAATTACACAAAGGTTATTCCCTTTATATATGGTATGGTTTTATCTAAGAGATTACTATTTGTGGGAGAGGTATAAAAAAGAAGTGGACTAATGGGTACCATCTTAGGACTTCTCAAGCCTTGCTAAAGATAATAAGTTGTACATTTTTTTTCAAATCGGTAGTTAGTCCGCTCACATTCAGAGATGGCCTGTCAGAAACAGTGACGTAAATTACATACATTTCCGACGTATAATACATATGTCAGAAACGTCGGAAACCTACCCAAATCCATTAGGTTTTTGACAAAATAGCTATTTCCATTAATCAATTTGGAAATTACGCATGCTTTACTCAAATTAATATAAAATTTCAAAATTTTCTTCTCAAAAAAATTTAGAAATGTTTATCAGTTCTACTAAGGAATAGTCAGATATATGTAAAAACAATATGCATTCTTGAAAATACATGTATATGCTGATAATATTGAAATAAATGACGTTTACTACATTTATTACATTTTATACAGGTTTTCGTTTTCGACGTTTACACCTTTTTGACAGTCGAAAACCTAAAAATTTGTCACACGGACCATCCCTGCTCACATTATATTAAAAATTTAATTTGTAGCACAATTTTGACCATTTTGTGAGGGAGATACCAGAAGGAGTGGGCCGATGCTCCTCATCTTCGAACTGAAACTTAGTTTGGAAGAAATATTAAGATCTGCAAAGTTTGGATAAAATCGGTTACTCCCTTCTAGAGTTATCAGATTTATTCCAAAAACATTAGATTTAAAAGCAATATTTTGATCAGGCACATTTCTCCGTATCAAAGTCTATTTACCCTCATTAAAAAATCGGTATTTTGTGCGAATTTTTTTTTCTTTTTTGGGGATTTTGGGCAAAGCCTTTCGGATTTTAATCCGTAATTCGGACAACCGAAACAAAACGGGTGCCGAAGAACATTTGCTTCGAAGAATTTTCGTAAGACTTTACTCGTCTGATAAGACCCACACGGTCGATTGTTGTTTTCTTATGGTCGGTGATCGTATTTTTTCAAAATGTCCGTTAGGTTAGGTTAAGGATGTGCGGAGACCAGCCAGGAAGAGTTTTAGTATCTCCTTCCTGACAATTTTTTTTGGTTTTTGAGACAACTGTGAATGATGATGGGATCAGAGAAAATATCAGAATCTACCAAACATTCAATGTTTCCTGCTGCGAAACATTGCAGTGACGTGTTATGCTTCCAACAGTTAGTTTCATCTTTTGCTTACCGACATCTGCGTATAGAAATAACCATTTTTCGAAATAGATCTTACGACCTTAAACCCAACAAGATCACATAAAAAGAATCACATAAAAGTTATATACATATATATAGTCCCCAATTCTATGTCATTAACCCATAGTTCCTGGAGCCGTTTTATGAGCGATTGTCGAATAGTACACGTACCAACGAGGACAAATCCTTTTTATGTTGTTAATGTTTCCATCTGCCAATATGCCTTATGACGATCTTGTGTCTGAAGTCACTATAAACAACACAACACATGGTCATTTCCAATGGAAATACCAGTTTCATCCGTGTTCAGTTTTGGGAAGGGGAAAAATCTGTGGGCGCCCAATTCGGTTTTGCTAAAAGTGTTTGCCTTTTGTCAAAAACCCAGGCACAATCATCAATGTGTGTCATCATGGTACAAATACTTATGGTTTTCCATAATTCTCTGCGTTTTTGACGAATTGCTTCGTACAAACCGCCCACGACTTAAAGGTAGAATCGTACGACCTTGTTTTTTTATACCCTCAGCCTTATTGCTATGGCCTCATCGAAATGCTTCTTTGGACCAAATCCGTTTCAGGCAATTTGGAGCCGATTTATAAATGTCCGTTCATTTGTCTGCATACCGTAATATATCTTACAAATTAAGTTCATAGATGGTACCTCTCCCACAAAATGGTCAAGATTTTGCTAATAATTATTTCTATAATATTATGCGAACCAACTATCCGATTTGAACCAAACTTTGTACTAGCAATTATCTATACCAAGCCTAGATTAAGGTCAAAATTTTGAATTTATAAACTTAATATCAGGCTAAGGGAATGTCCGATTTGAACCAAACTTTGTACATCCTATTATCGTGAACAAGCCTAGATCATATTCGAAAATGGCTCCCGTCGGTCTATCCTTCTGATACCTCCCCCATTAAGGGTCAATATTTTATAAACGTGTATATTTAATTTGGAAGTATAAACGTAAAAAACCTATACTTTACATAAATCGAACAATAAAACCTTTGTGTAATTCCGAAGACCTTGGCAAGCCATATGTTGTCGGCTGCCATTTTCGATTCGATTCGATTCCCCATTATCAAACATCTTTATTTCCCTAACTTATCATATGTTACCCATATTGACTCATCTTTGTAATCTTAAATCTACATACGTATAATATGTATGTGTACATGCATATAAAAATGTAATATTCTGAATAAATTGTTAATAAATGTAAATGAATTTTCAATGTTATTTTGCATAAGGTAAGGAAGGTCATGTTAAACACAAATCGATTTCCACACACATTCTCCCATCTGGTTGAGCTATAAAGAACAAAAAACGCAATCAATTGATGGAAATTGAACCTTTCTGGCGTAGGAACTCAACCGGATCGTTATAACCCCCATTCATGCATTTACATGACCATGGTGATGATTATGACAATGATGATGAGGATGGTGGTGATGTTATATTGACCAGTTCATTCATGTTCGTAGGTTGTTTGATCGCATATTGTCGACATAAACGTATTTTTTACATAGTAGTTAAAAATACATTTTGTAAAACTAATTGTTTCCCCTGCCCCCACCCCTTTTTCATTAATTTTTATGTTTTTCCACTACCATTTAGATATTCATTCACATTTTTTCTTCTCTTTCTCTTTTTTCCCCATTCGTTCGTTCGTTCGTTTGTTTGTATATTGTCATTTTAGATTTACGTGTTACAACCGATTCATCATCCCAAATCAACCAGAATCGCAATTCATTATTAGCGGGTGAGGTGAAATCTCATCATCATGATGCGTCTAGCAACCAAATGGTGGCCACAACTACTGGCGGTGGCTCATCATCGTCCACACATTTATTGAACAGTGTTCCAAAGAAGACCCATTTGTTGATGACGACAGCCATGGATGGAAAAGACGACAAACATCAGTCACATTCACAAACAACATCACAGCCGCATCATATCCCGACATCTGTAGTTGTCAGCAACAACCAGAGCAGCGACCTAGAATTGTCGTCATCGTCCACCTCCTTTAAGGATCACAAGAAATATTCAGAGAAAAATCATGGAATTAGTGTAGAATCACGTCATGGCATTATTGGTAAGTTGTTGTACAAACACCATCTTCCATTGTGTGTGTATGTGTATACGTTTGTATGTATCGATTGTATTTAGAAATCCATTCTCCGATTCAAATTCCCATCCATTTAGAATTGTAGAAAATGTACAAATTGCATGTGTCCATTTGAGTGGAGTTTACCTTAAGATTTGTCATCCTGTCATTCATGCCGGAACATGTACCTCAATGAAAAGTATGCAAATATTTCACTTTTGCCTATTTCTTGTTTCTCCATAAAGGTGTCTAATACACCGTAAAGAGATGACACAAAAGTGTTTACTTTTAGATGTTTGCCACGAAAATGAGTGAAACTGAAATGAAGGAGAGTTAATACATAGTATGAATGCGGGCAAATTGATTGGGATAAATTAGGTCAGTATTGGTGCGTAGGTTAATTCAAATATATACTAAAAATTGTAAGACGATGAAACTGATGGAGATACAAATCTTCGCGCTAGAATGCCACGAAAAGTACTAGATTTTTTACGACGATCGGGCGGTAGAAAAACTTTTTTTGCATGTCTGCCATAAATTAAATTGAGTACATAGCTAGTTTTTAGAAAGTACTGAATGGCGAGGTTAACTATGGTAACACTAGTATGGGTCATTGGACAATTTAATTTGTCTATGATATATGAACCTTAAAATGGTTTAGTTCCAAAGGACGCAAAATGACTCCAATATGTGAGGGAACAGATTATTTTATGATTGCCTGGGGCGACTTTGCAGAAGCTTCAAAGAGATTTCGTTTTGATATCTAATTTTTTATGACTTTTAACCGACCGCAAATGGACTTGCATTCCTGAAACCAAGAGTGGGTGTCTACTTAGTGACAATTTCTAAAATGTATTGCAATAAGACGAATTAAAGAAAATTCGTCACAGGTCAAAGTCAAAGTTTTTTTTTTTTGCTGACGACCCTATTATACTTGACGAGTTAGCTTCATATCTTTATTTGAAGCTATTGTATGTATTTTTATACCCTTCACTACACTTTAGTACACACAGTTGAAAAACGCGCTCAAGAACCTCAAAATACCGAAAATTTGGGGATACCCTTATATGGGAGCTATGCCTAAACGTGAACCGATGTAGTCCATCTTCGAACTTGACCTGCCTGCAGACAAAAGACTCTATGCAAAATTTTGGCGATCTATCTCAAAAAATTCCGTTCTATCTGTGAAGGTTATGAAATATCCTGGCACACGCCATTTTCACCAGTTTAGTTTAATGCTCTTGTTCAAGAATTTCATCATGGCTTTACAGAGCCCGATTTTACTTTATGTTTAGTTATAAAAACTTCGCCTATACAATTTTTCCTGCTTTTTAATAAATATATTAAAACAAATCCCCAAGCACTTATTGTCACCAAAAGAATCTTAACCACACTTTGTATTAATTTCGTGTATTGATTGATTGTCAGCTACTTATTTACATTTCAAGTAAAAAATGAAAACTATATTTACATTTTTACTTATTCACTTTTTTGTTATTCTTCTTTACAGAATATGAAGGTTCCCCACGACGCATTGGTCAAATGGGCAACAATAATGGCAACGATGAAGACCACTATCATAATCAACAGCATCGGACAAACAGCAACAACAAAATGCAAGGGAATGCCACGAATAAAGCCAATCATCACAGGGACGCCATTTCCAATAGCAATAACACCACTACATCGGCAACAGTTGTAGCTGGTGCAGCAGCAGCATCAGCATCAGGCAATATGTCAAATAATTCACCAAAACAACATTATACAGCAAGACCAGGGTTTCCACAGGTAAGTTATGGTGTGACACTCAGACACACTCACCCCTTAAGAAAATCCCTTTTAAATGTAAGACAGATGCTCGTTGAGAGGATAGCTTAAAATAGAAAGCCACAAAAAAATAAAATCAATATTTCCTCTTTTTGTTGAATTCTTTGACGACACTGACATAAGATTAAAAATAAATATTATTTTCTTCTTATTCTCATTGTTCTCTTTTTTCTTGTGTCTTTTGTATTGCTGATCTCGGGTGCCATTGTCCTGTTCGGAAATATACAATCTTACAGCGTATCATATCTCCACAACGTGAGACAACACCACCGATTATGCTGCTAAATTACAATGGCAAAAGTCAACAACAACAGCAGCAGCAACAACAACACCATCACCAACAACAATTGAATTCACAACAGCAGTCTCCAACTAGGGACAACAATGCCGAAGATACCAGCAATGATGTATCGGAAATTGGCACAATCTCTGACCTGACAACGCCAGAGGCTATTATCCATCCAGCCGGGACAGGCATGCTTACTGGAAATGGCAACGGTGCTGCTATATGCGATAGTCGTGCCACCACAACACCATCGCCACCACTGCCTTCTAGCTCCCATCTGGATATGGAGACAACAGGCGCATCGATATCGGCATCAGCCACTGCAACAACAACAACAGCAGCAGCACCACCACCAACTGCCACAACATCAATGACGGTTAGTTCCAAATGCAGTACGCCATCAACGCCACCCAATACATTGGCAACAACAATGACATCGCTGAATAATATGGCCGCCTCAACATCGCCAAGTGGTGTCAATGTATCGACGGCAGCACCGACAACAACATCAACAACAACAGCCTCGTCCACATTGTTGCCATCAAATATTGTCAGCAGTAATCCCTTGACTATACCGACCAAGTCATCAACCTTTGATTACCTCTATGAGTTCTCAGAAACACGCAAGGTGCTCGAAGAGTTTTTCAAGTGTCCCTCCAGCGATGACAAGCCCATCATTGAGAATAGCAGTGACGTCGATAGCATTGTAAGTTTGTTGTTAGTCTTCTCCTTTCGTTGGAATTATTTATTCTTATTTAGTGTTTTTTTTTTTTGCGTTGCGACTTTCTTACTACAATAGAATATGTAATTACACAAGGACTATATTTGTAGGGGTGGGATGATGAAGAAGGAGAAGATATGTTGTTATAAGGACTCTACAGAGAAATGGATAAAATGTGTGTGTATGTAGCGGGTACATGAAAGAAAAGAAATTGAAAAATAATTATCAGAATCTTGCGATAGGCAATATTTTCTTGGATTTGTTAATAAAAGAGGTGTCATCTAAAGTAATCTTAATGATAAGAATTATACATGTCATGTTGAATCCTTTACTAGCCGACAGAGGACATGGAGTACTTGTTTATTAGGGCGCATACAGTTTTGTAGGTGCACCCTGCTTTAAACTTCAATACATTAAGCCATAATTTTTAATTTGAAAAAAATCAGCAATGAAAAAATACCGTTAAGTTCGCCATCTCCCTGAGTAACCAAAATCTAGTAATTATTATTATTAATATTATTATTATCATTATTATTTAGTAATTATTTAAGTTGACCTATAATAAAATGGCATAGCGATGAATTATAAACATTTCCGCTTATATGACATCTACCATCTTTTAAGCTGAAATTCTAAATTATTGCTATTTGACCCACCTTACCGCGTTTAGAGGCGCTCCTTAAATTAGTCTGTTAAAAGACCTGTAATCAGGCTAGACCATTTAATAGGGGTTATTTCCAATCGGAAAGGTCTCCGTTGATTATATGTTGAATTACGGAATGTCCATAATTAAGAACACTAGCCAGCGCCCGCAACTTCGTTTGCATTTTTTAGAAGTGTGGTATTTTTCATTCAAATAATACTATTTAAAAATGTTAGGATTTAATAATGTCAAGTTGCTATTGTTTGTACCTGGACATATTATAAGTGCGAAATTTCTCAAAATTGTCTAAATTTTTTTTGCAAAATAGTCAGGCTGAATCCCAGTTTTGTTGTTTTTATAAAAAAAACAACTATTTATTAGTGGGGAATGTATGGCATTGTTTGCCGAGGGGTAAGGCAAGAAGGTTCGGTTCACGCCACTGATCCTCATCAGTTCCCATAGTTTTTTTTATTGATATATTCTCCCCAGAAGCTTTTGCTTCTATACAAAAAACCTTTCATACCCAAATGTCTTTTGTAACAAAGAGAAGTACTTAGGTGACCAACGATATGAACTACATGAGAATTTCGCTGGTGCCTTACTTCGAGGTTAAGAAGGCATTTATAAACAATACCATAACTATCCCACTGTTGTGTGTTGGCGCTAATTGGTTCAATATTCTGCATACAAAATTCTAGGTTTACTCTTTCGCCCAATATCAATAATAATTGGTTTATAAATTTTAGTACACTTTTAGTACGATTTTCCAAAGATCCTTTGGTACTGCTATTCTACGTTCGATTAAGATAATACAATCTAAATTTCAGAGCTCTAGATCTATCAGTTCACTCAAAAACAGTTCTAAAATTTTTAGTTCTTTTCGGTACCATTTTTATACACATACCAATTTGCCCAGTTTTATCACACACATTCGAACATATGACCCATATACTGAATTTCAAGATTCTTCTTCTTCTTCTAGGCGTTGATTATTGGAAGTAGTCATTTTAGTACCCTTATGGTACGTTTTTCCAAAATCCCCGGCTTATCACACACCTATGTGCCAATCTGGCCCTCACATAAAATTTCAGGATTCTAGCTTCAGTCCTTTTGTCTGGGTGTTGATTGTCATTTTCAGTACCTGTTAGTACTTTTCATGACCTTATAGTACGAATTTCCGCAAATTCAGCATCTACGTACCAATAATGACCCACATTTCAAAATTCTAGCGTCAGTTTGGGGCTTCATCAAAAAACATTATTACAAGCTCTATCATGAATTGCAACATATTAACCGACAGTAGTGATTTTTAAAATCTGTACTGTATTCGGTTGGCGTGTTCAATTGGCAACGTTCCGGTAAGTTTCAAGCTACGTATTTCAGCTAGCTAGGAGAGGTAGAGTAGTAATAGAGATTTAGAGATCAACTGTGGAAGTGGGAATTCTCGAGGTCAAAAATTTTTTTGATTTTATTCAAATATATATATATCCCTACAAAATTTCAAGTGAAAATCTCAAGAACTCTTGAAGATATAGCCGATTTATTGTGTCAGCATCAAGTGACGGCTGAGGGCTTCTCACACTTTAAACGCTTTTTTCTCTTTTGCGAATGGCGGGCACGATAACTCAAAAACTAATAACCCAATCGATTCCAAATTTTTACACGTTTCTCTGTAAGTGTATAGCTATCGTATGAACAAGGAAAAGTCAATCGGTGAAGATCTTCCTTAGTTTTTAACTTGGTTTTTGGTCAAAAATCGGCGATTTTTCAAAAATATTTTTTCAAAGATCCGCCATTTTGTTAATTTTAGAGCGAAGTCAATAATCCTAGTTCATACGAGAGTTCCGAGATTCCGATGTTCCAGTGAGGAGTTATCATGCCCGCCATCAAAAATGAGGAATTTTCTTTAATAACAAAAAACAACAACAAGACAACAACAAAATTTTTTGTAAATTATTTTTCTTCTTTTTTAAATCTTCAAAAATATATGTGCAAAGTTACAAACCTTAAGAATCATTGGTATTGATTTACCAGCCCATTGAAAATCTTGAAAAATTAAAATCGAGAATGGGGGTTCCCTTAAGGGGAACCCCCATTCTCGGGGTCAAAATTTTTGTTGATATAATTCGAATCTACACTGATTAAAGAATGCCTCTACAAAAATTTCAAGTGAAAATCTCAAGAACTCTTGAAGATATAGCCGATTTATTGTGTCAGCATCAAAGGACGGCTGAAGGGCTTCTCAAACTTTAAACGCGTTTTTCTCTAAACATTTTTTTTTGCGAATGGCGGGCACGATAACTCAAAAACTAATAATCCAATCGGTTCCAAATTTTGCAACCTTTCTCTGGGAGTGTATAGCTCTCGTATAAACTAGGACAAAGCCAATCGGTGAAAATCTTCCTTATTTTTTTAATTTGGTTTTTGGTAAAAAAATCGGAGATTTTTCGAAAATATTTTTTCAAAGGTCCACCATTTTGTCAAATATAGAGCGAAGTCAATAATCCTAGTTCATACGAGCCAGACATGTACTCTTTCTAACACCGTTGGATTTTTCGGATTCCGATGTTCCAGTGGGGAGTTATCATACCCGCCATCAAAAATAAGGACTATACTTTAATTACAAAAAACAACAACAAAACAATAACAAAATTTTGTTGTAAATTATTTTTCTTCTCTTTTAAATCTTCAATTATATATGAGCAAAGTTACAAACCTTAACAAGCATAGGTATTGATTTACCAGCCCATTGAAAATCTTGAAAAATTAAAATCGAGAATGGGTGGGTTCCCTTAAGTGACCTATAACTATTGTGATATGTCTTGAGAGGTTTGGTCAATTAAGGCTACTCAGGAACGCTATCAGTTCGAGGATATATGATGATCTGCGTATTATGCAGTTTTAGTCTACTACTTCTGAAGTTTATTGAAGATAGTACTAGAGTAGGGCCGAAGTGTAAATTACTGTCATTTTCCTTTTTGCAGAGCGAACCTAAACAGTTTGAACGGCTTCAGAAACAACATTCAACACATTTGGGTACAGAGGATTATATCTTTGTGGTATCGACACATAATTATGTTTGAGAATATACATATAATCACCTTCTGACTCCATTTATTAATGTCTGTCTGTCCACTTATTATTATAAACAAAGTACAGGTCATATTTGGTCTCCAAATGAGATGAAATTTACTGTAGCTTATTTATTTGGTCCAAAGACCTATTGAAATAATTTAGAATCGTTTCATATATATATATATATATATATTCCCCCAATTTCATAATAGCTCCCCACAGTTGCCAAATTTGAACAGCGACACTCAATTGTGTATGCCTTTCAATTAATTTAATACAGTTGAAATCGGTCCTCTTTTACGTATAACTGATTTAAAGCAAATTGTGCACCACCACAGTGAAAAATTTATCGAAATGAAAAATTCTTCACCGTCTTCCATAATGAGCATAAGTAAATAATTTTTCCAAAATTAAAAAAAACAAATCTGTTTATTCTTATAAATCTGGCTTCAAAAAACCAATCGCCAAATAATATTTGAGCCCTATGATTGCTTTCTGAGAATATACATGTTTTTATCATGACCAATAATAATATTTTGTCATCTACCACAACAATTTCCTTTTTAATTTGTTGCTGCTGATGTGTTCTACATTTTTTGTTTTGTTTTGAATTATTTAACAATAACGGAAAACACTACTAACCATTGTTCCATTTTCCTTCCGTTTTTTTCTACATCTTCCTTTTGTTTTTATATTGCCATAAACACAGGATATACAATATGAATTCCATAGCAATCTGAATCGCGGTGACATTGAAGAGGATGAGGGTGATGGTGATATTGAGGGCGATGACGATGATGATGAAATCCAATTGGATGGTGACAATGATGAGGATATTGATAACGATGGTGATGATGATGTTGAAACGCCACAACACCATCAGCCGCCAACACATTTGGGACAACATCAAATGCACCAACAACAACAACAGCAACAACATTCTATGCAAACACAAAACAACCATCATGGCCTAAATCATCATCATTCCAGTTTTCGCAATCATTTGCAATCGCCAACCCAGTTCACTTATCGTCCCTATAACGAAGATGAAGATGACGACGACATGGATCTGGACAATGAGGCCAGACACAATGACATGCAACACCATTATGAACAGCAGCAGCATCAGCAACAACAGCATCACCAGCAACAACAGCATGAACAGCAAGAAAATCATCACAATTTCTCATTGTTAAACAATCGCCACACCAACAACAGCAACAGCAGCAACAATACTCGCCAGCACAATTCGAGGCGTCATTTTACCGGCAGCCCATTAATGCGCGACTTTGATTTCTTTTTGGACTCGGCCAGTCGCAGCAGTTGTGAACAAATCGATCAGCAAATCGACGGCATCAATCATAATCAAATGAACACCGGCAATCGACAAAATTATCGCTATTCACCGGAGACAACAGATTATGATTCGAATTGTGGTGATTTAGATAGTAAGTATGAAATGACATGACATGTATATTTGTTATATATTTTAAATGAGATGATATTAAAAAGAGTGGTTGCCTTTTAAGGTTGATTACAACAACAATAGCATTTATGTGACGTCAAAAAAGGCATGCAAAGATTATATTAATCAACAAATAGTTAGAACTATTTATATCCTCCACCATGCTCATTCGAAACACCTGAGACTATGATCTTGCAATTCCGAATTACACACATTGAGGTTAAAAGCATGGACCTATATGGAAGATTTTCTGAGAATATGTTTTTAACCTCCAAGAAAGCTGAATGATAAATACAGCCCCACTGGCGGGGATGTTCGGATATGGCCTCCCAAAAATGGGCTGTGGTTAAGAAATGATAACGGTTTTTATTTTTCCCAAAAACTCACAAACATCGATGTGTGATCTGGTGCGTTATCATGGCGCTAAATCCATAATTGGATTCTTTGCGTCTCAGACAAATTGCATCGCGCAAAAGGCACATAACTTCAATGGGTATTGCAAAACAATGAGCAAAATCTTTACATTTGACCAAACTTTACGAGTTATTTTGGGTTCCCATTGGGTAGCACATCTTCGCACCAAAAATGTTCAATATTATCAAACTTTTCAGGGTAGCCCAAAATTCAAATTGTACAAAATTTAGTACGGATTTTGCACACATAAGTACGAACATCCAAAACTACGTACATACCTAAATTCCACACTCCAACTGTAATCGTAAATCTCCAGCTCTATCGTTAAATTGTAGCAAGCTTAGTACCCATAAGTACACATTTCCAAGCCTACATACATACCCCAATCCTACACTCCAACCGTAGTCCTAACTCCAAATTCCAGAATTCTAGATCTATCGGTTCCTCCTATATTCAGATTGCAACAAATTTCGTACCTATATGTAAAAATTTCCAAAGCTATATCCATACCCCAATCCGACACTCCAATAGCGATCCTAACTCCAAATTTCAGGATTCCAGCTCTGTCGGTTCTCTCAAAATTTAAATTGTACCAAATTTGCATTTTCCGAAACTTCTTATATACCCCAATCCTGCACCCCAACCCTGATCCTAACTTAAACTTTCAGGATTCCAGCTTTATTGTTTCGCTCAAAATTCAAATTGTACCAAATTTAGTTAACATAAGTACTGAGAATTTTCAAAATTATATCCATACCTCAATCCTGCACTCCAACAGTAATCTTATTTCCAAATTTCAGTGTTCCAGCTCTATCGGTTCACCCAAACCCAAATTGTACCAATTGTACATAAATTGTACATAGATAAAAAAATTCCAAAACTACTTACATATTGTAATTCTGCACTAACGTAATTTTAAATTTTGGGATTCCAGCTCCATCCGCCTCTCCAAATTAAAATTCTACCAAATATAGTACATTTCTTATACATGAGTACACACTTCCAAAACCAACCCCCCCCCATATCGACCATACTTCTCAACCTTAATTCGCATTCCAAATTTCAAGTTTTCCAATTGTACCAAACTAAGTACATTTTAGGACTTTTCGGATATTTACTGTTCGAATAAAAAAAATCCTTTAGTACATCTATCCTACCCTCCAGCAGTGATTATCATTCTAAATTTAAGAGTTTTAGCTCCATCCATTCGCCAAATACCATATTTAGAACTTTTTAGCACTTTTCGTCTTTTAGCTTCAGTCGTTTCGCCTGGGCGTTGATGTCATAGGTCAAGTTTTTGTGTTATGGCGCGATGATGTTTGCGGCTATTACAGGTTATTTTTTGATCATTCAATCAAATCGAATGAAAAATATTTGTGTAGAACATATTCTTCTTCTATTTCGAGTCCATCTGGGCCTTTTTATACCCTCCACCATATTAAATTCGTCAATCTGTTGGCAACAACTCGAAATATTCACCGGATACCCCCTAAAGATTTTTTCATCTCCAAATATTTTACAAAAATTTCGCCTATAAGAAATTCCAATTTTTCCGGTCCCTTATCAGAAAACCTTATATCTACGAAAAAAATAATAAAAAATTGCGGATCCATCTGAAAAAAAATTGCCATTAACATATCATATCATGTTAAACACGTCAATAAAATTTCTTCGTGGGTGACGAAGAATTTTTAGATAATTAACCTTATTTTTACTGGTTTTGATACATAATACATAACGTTGAATGAATTTCCTAATCCTAAAAACTTATAGCACTGTGTTATCTACTTTCTGACTGACGCTAGTTTTGTAAAGAAATGAATGTCTATATTTTTTACGGATTAAAGAATCAGCTTCATGGATGGAATTTCAACCATAGAGCCGTGTTGTTTCTCACAAATTACTCTGAAAGATTGCAGCCGTGCGGGGATTTGTCTGATGCAGATTTAAAGCAATGGTTTGAAAATTCACTTAATTCGTGTTTACAACTTACCACACTATTATATTTAAGATAATTTATCTATAAACTGTGTGTTCACATATTCGCCTAAAAGTATACTTTAATTTTGGGTCATTAATTTTTATACGGAAATTTAAATATAGATTTGTATTTTCTCGTTCTATTGTAATAAATTTAATTAATTAAAATCAATCATTTTTGTTGTGACAGAACGTTCATTATAATACAAAGATTTCTGATTTGTTTGACATTTATGATTGATTTCTTCCCTTCTCTCCTCCTTCACATTTGATTGCCTTTGGCAAGCACAATACTAGTTAGTACTTTTGTTTGCCTTGAAATATTTAACTTGACAATAACTGTGGCGATAACTCTTCTTTTCTTGCTAAAGAATACTTCAAATTGCTGTGGCTGAAATTTTGTACGTATGTATGTCATGGCTAGCAAATGACATTTCCCCCAAAACGAAAACGGATGAAAAATATCCACAAAAGAAAGAAGACAAAAAAACAAATCGAAAGTTAGAGTTTAATTAAGTGTCAAATGCAATACAACGAGGCCGAAGAGAAATGTAGGAAAGAAATTGCTTAAATGATAGATTGTCAATAAGCAATGACCGCAATTCAAGTGTAACGTTTAATAGACCAATGCCGCAGGACTAAGGGAAAGGATTTCAATTTCAATGACATTCTGTCGGTGGTTATTGTGAAATTGAGATTTAACCCGGTGGGAGGTTATTTAAATAAATTAGGACATTTTTGTTACTGGAAACGAATCATATTTGGTTCAAATTAATAACAATTCGAAGGACAAAAATATTAAAATGAGTTCAATGAAGGCGAATAAAAATTCTATTTTTGGAAGAAGTGAAATTTATTCATATATTTCCCCCCACTACCTCTTTCAGGTCTTTCGGGTGAAATGAATGGCGGTGTTTCAACCTCATGTTCCAACTATGCTAAATACTATGCATCCAGTATGCCAGTTCTTGAGGATGGTCTATCATCGGGCCACACATCCGATACCGAAAATAATAACCAAAATAATCTATTGAATCAACAAAATTCCGGTATTCATCATACACCACTGGGTGGTGGCATTTCTATGTTGATGGACATGAAGCGGGTCTCGACCAACAACAGCATTAATAGCATGAATAATACAACAATTTCAACCACAGATGGTATGGGTGGTAGCATCAGTGCCGGTGGCAGTGTTGTCGGCAATGACAAGTGCCGCAATACAACAATGTCACCGAATTTATTACACGATTCGTATATGCGTAAGAATGATAGTCCCATAAATGGTCTAATGATCGATGAGAATATTCGAGACGCGAATTCAACAAATACAACAACAGTGAGAACTAAAAATGAGATACGTGAAAGGGAAATAATTGGACAAAGTCCCAATGGCATAAGCAATAATAAAGTATTCAAGAATATTGATCCGGATCTTGATTCACTTTATTCGATAAGTATGGTCCATGAAAATTTAAAAAAATTTCGATTTTTAATTCTTCTTCTTATTCTTGCATTCCAGGTGTTTTCCATCGCAATGATATGGTGCAAATGACACCACCACCCCCAGCACCGGCTCCACATCGTAAACCAAACGTGCTGTCAGCGGAACCGGATATTTTACAGCCAACACCCTATCGAGATATGCGTTCAGGTTCGAATAACACAATTTCACCTACAAAAGCCAACAACACTACCAACATCACCACCACAACAACATTGAACAATGGCAACAGTAGCAACAATAGCAGCAGTGGTGTTGCTGCAATGCAATCGAACACCTCGCCGACTCAGCAATCAGCTCAAAGCATAAAACGTACCGCACAGTCGCAACAGCAGCAGCCACAGCAACAACCACCACCATTGCCAGAACGTAATGCACCGGCACGTTCACCATCGCCTGTGATGAACTCCCCAGTCTGGTTGACACGTCACCTGGAGGTTAATTCACAAAAAGGTCTCCTCGAATCACCCTCGGCAAATCACTCAAAAAATCTAAGTGCCGATGAAGATGATGTCGATACCGATTTGGAAACCGATCGCCTATTGGGCCATCAACGACTCGATGACCAAGGTTACTATGATGAGAACAAGACATGGGACCGTAAACCATCGAGATCTCTACTCTCGAAAATCTCTCCCAAACAGGTGCCAAGCACCAAAACACGTAACGGTTACAATGCCTTGTTATCCTCGACACCGGAAATCCCACCGCCAGTACCGCCGAAAAATTCCTCCAACAAATTACTGGACATAGGTGGTTCAATGTCGTCACCCGAACACAGTGACAAATCACCCATTAAATCGATTGACATACAGGATTGTGGCCTCACGTTGGGTTCGCCAGGCGGTTCAGAAGGTTCGGGTTGCATGAAAAAAGATCTGGACAATGGTGTTGGTGGTCCGACGAGTGGCAATAGCAGTACAGCGAGTGGCAATATTGTCAATAGTGGAACGGGCAATGCAGGTGGTACCGGCAGCAGTGTCGGCTCCACGGGCAGTACTACCGGAGAGAAAAAAGTTAAAAAGAGTAAGAACAAAGAAGGTAAATTATTGGGTTTATCTTCGTGGCAAACATTCAGTGTTGTCGTTTGAAAAGTCGTAAAACCAATTTTAGTACAAATTTATCAATTATATATATCTTACTATATTCATATATATAGTGTATTTATTGAAACAAAAAATATGTATTTTATTTGTAGTTGTGATAAAAGTTAAAGTTAATGGAAAATGTTGTTTAGAAAATTATGAATTTACACTACTAATTAATTTAATTTGAATGATATACCCCCAGTGAAATACATCCACTTGATTCTACACAGTATTACGGAATGAGTTTCTTTCTTCATCAAAATCTAAAAATATCATTCAATGTTGTTCCGTATAACTTTTATAGAGAGTCATATTATAGGCTATTATATTAGTTTCACTTGGATATTAGTTTCATTTGACTGATCTACGAATTTGTGCGGTGTATATATTGGTCTAAGTTTTGATATAACTGCTTTTTCGGTGTTAATAAAATGTTTACCCAATTTTCTCATGTTACAGAAACCAAATCTGATTCGAATTCGAGTAGCTACCTTCGATCGAAATGACTTTCAATCGTTTTAGTGAAACAGGCTTTATGTTTTCCAACTAGAGTCTGTAATTTAGAACACTATTTTTCGGTCCATGAACAACCTATCTCATAAATAATATCTCTCATTTGCTGCATGAAAGGCATAAGTAAAAAAAAATTGCAGAAAATGCGTTATAAGTTTTCAATTTACTCACACTTTATATGGGACAGAGGAACTTCTGCAGCTTCTCAATTCGAGTGTGTAAGATATATTCATATGAATTTTGTACACAACATGAGGTCTATTATAGCGAACAATCGAAAATCTCGTTTTTATACCCTCCACCATAGTATGGTTTTTCGTTTGTACCTCATCGAAATAATCATTTGTGATCCTCAGCGTAAAATTCTATGACGATATAGCCATGTCCGTCTGTCTGTTGTAATCACTCTGCGTTTAGACGCTATGGGCTTTATCGGTCCACGTATAGGCATAGCTCCCATATAAGGGCACCCCCAAATTTTCGGAATTTTGGGGTTCTTGAGCGCGTTTTTCAACCGAATTCGCTGAAATTTGCTACATTGGGTTCCTGCTGGGTACTTAATGTCTCCACAAAAAATTATAAATATATGTCCACTTCTTCTGGTAGCCCCCATATAACGGTACCTCCTGCTTGACAGTATTTTGGAGGTTTTGATCGCATTTATCAGCCGAATTAGCTGTAATTTAATATTTTAAGTTCTTAATAGGTACCAAATCTCTCCACAAAAAATTACGAATTTAGGTGCATTTTTTCGGATAGCCCCCATATAAAGGTTCCCCAAATTTTCGTTTTTTTGGGGTTCTGGGGCGCGGTTTTCAACCGAATTTGCTGCAAATTGGTATTTTGTAGTCGTGTATGGTAACAAATCTCCTTACCAAAAATTGTTAATAGTCGCCCCTTTTTGGGGTAGTCCCCATATAACCCCCCTATTATACCCTTCACCACAGTGTGGTACAGGGTATTATGTCTTTGTGCATATGTTTGTAACAGGCAAAAATAATCGAGATAGACCCATGTTTCCTTTTGAGAATATGTATAGAATCACTTTTTGAGTCGATTAATGCTTTTCCGTCCGTCCGTCCGTCCGTCCATCCAAGTATTTTTGTGAACAAAGTACAGGTCGCATTTATGATCCGATTTGAATGAAATTGAAATTGGGAAAAATCGGTTCAGATTTAGATATAGCTCGCATATATATTTTCGATTTAATGTAAATGGTGCACCAAAGTCCCTATATATCTTTCGATTTGCACGAAATTTGGCACAGCGTAATGAGTGAAGTATAGAATGATGTGTGTAAAGTTTCATGAAAATCGGTTCAGATTTAGATATAGTCCCATATATATTTTGACCGATTTAATGTAAATGAAAAATTCTATATAGGATTTGCAGAAATTTAACATATCGTATTCAATTTTAATGGTGAAAATCGGTTCAGATTTAGATATAGCTCCCATATATATTTTCGTTCGATTTATGTAAATGGTGCACCAAAGTCCCTATATATCTTTCTTTATGGATTCAATTTCATAAGAATGCGATTAAATATACCCAAAGTGGTGAAGGGTATCATATAGTCGGCCCCACCCGACTTTACTACTTTCCTTACTGCTTTGAGTTATGCCTGTCTTGCAGCAAATGATCGATATCATTGTCCCCATATAAATATCCCAATTGACTCAGGAATTTGGATGCACTTCACAAAGAACTGTGATGTATATGACATTTCCATTAATCTATTTACTAGTTTATATTTTAAAATATTTTTTTAGAATAATCTTGAAACCATTTTTAGGAAGTGTCTCTCATTTGACAGATTGTGTATAAATCAGTATGGAAAAAACTTTAAAGATTAGGCAAATTTGACAGTTCGAGTTTTAATTTTTTGTACATCTACTTAAAATGTTTTCAAATTTGTATGTATATGTTGCTTATACTCAATTCAGCACATCATATTCCCTTCTCTATTCGTCTAATTCAATATCTATTCTTTGGAAGTTTTGATTTTAAGTTTGATTGCTCACATATTTGTGTTTCATGGTTCCAACTTAATGTCGCTAGTTATGCAGTGTCGTTAAGATAACATCGGTTCTTATTCAAGGATTGACAAACATTTAGGGTATAGTAGATTTCGTGCTAATCGAGAACGAATGAAACAAATAACAAGTGAAAAAGCGTTAAGTTCGGCCGGGCCGAAATTTGGATACCCTCCACCATAGTTATACTGACAGATACATGCAATGAAAATATAGGGAACATACCAAAAAGTGGACACATACCGATAATACCGATTTATGTAAACCATTATGTACATTAAATACAAACTTCGGCAATTTTTAATGGGGATTTTTCCTAAAATCTGTATGATCCAAAAAGTGGACTGATATTTATAACGCATTGTAGAGTATGAAATCCTCAAACTACTGTAATTTAGATTACAAAGTTATATGAGGCTATGCCTAAAGAGGGACCAATATTGATTACATAGTGTAGGAAATAGTGAATATTTGGGGATATCATCATATGAGGGCTATGCCTAATTAATGACCGGTATATGCCAATTTTGAACCAAATATTTTAATTGTTTATCTCAAGATCCCTAAAATACCGAATATTGGGGGGTACCCTTATATGGGAGCTACCCGAAAAAATTGACCTATATTTATAATTTTTAGTACAAAGATTTGCTACCCAATAAGAACTCAAAGTACCGAATTACAGTCAATTAGGTCTAAAACTGGAAATTGGGAGGTACCCTTATATGGGGGCTACCAGAAAAAGTGGACCTATATTTATAATTTTTAGAGGGGAAATTTGGTACCCAATAAGAACCCCATGTACCAAATTTCAGCGAATTCGGTTGAAAACCGCGCTCAAGATCCCTAAAAAAATACGGTCAGAACCCCCCAAAAACTGGATATGGGGAGGTACCCTTATATGGGGGCTACCAGAAAAAGTGGACCTATATATATAATTTGTAGTAGGGACATTTGGTACCCAATAAGAACCCAATGTACCAAATTTCAGCGAATTCGGTTGAAAAACGCGCTCAAGAACCTCAAAATACCGAAAATTAGGAGGTAGCGTTATATGGGGGCTACCAGAAAAAGTGGACCTACACTAATAATTTTTGTGGAGGCATTTAGTACCCAATAAGAACCCAATGTACCAAATTTCAGCGAATTCGGTTGAAAAACACGCTTAAGAACTTCAAAATACCGAAAAATGGGAGGTACCCTTATATGGGAGCTATGCCTAAACGTGGACCGATATAGCCCATCATCGAACTTGACCTGCCTGCAGACAAAAGACGACTCTATGCAAAATTTTGGGGCTCTATCTCAATTCGTTTAGACGCTAGAGTGATTACAACAGACAGACGGACAGACGGACATGCTTAGATCGCCTTAGAATTTTACGCTGATCAAGAATATATATAGTTTATAGGGTCGGAAATGATTATTTCGATGCGTTACAAACGGAAAAACAAAACTAATATACCCTCCATACTATGGTGGAGGGTATAAAAACAGATCAATTTCCTCCAATCCGCATGGATGAATGGAAAAATGTTTAGTAGATATATTGCGCAAATTATAAAATCTCGAAACTTACAATTTCCATTAACTTTACTTTATCAATAGCGTTTAAAAGAAGTAAAATCATTTTAGATGTTGTTTCAAATTATAATTTGTAATATTACCAACAAATAGTATTTCGAATTATATATTTGAAATTCATGTTGTATACCTAATATACAATACAATCAAACGCAATTGAACATGGTTGTGATCGAAATCATTGTTACAAATTAATTATTAAAAAAATAATTCCCAGCATATAAAAATCTAATTGCATCCTTCCATGTTCAATTGCATCTAGTAATATATCTATATCAACCAAAAAACAAAAACAAAACTCTAGATAAAAACATGTGAACTAATTTGCAAATAATATGTTGTTTATATTTTTTTCTTTATGAAATATATATTTACTTTTGCATGCATTCCGTTACGTTACGTTTTGCGTTCGAAACCAAACAAAAACAAAAAAATAATCAATCAATCAAATATTTAATCAAAACAATTAAATGTGTGTAATCGCTTAACTCTCCATCTCGATGTCTACGTTCGTTCGTTCGTTCGTTTATACTTTGTAAGCTACAAATTCTTTTTTAAATACAACAACAATAATAACAACAACATTACATTTCATTAGTTAGTCTTTTTTGAGTTTTCTTTTCATTTAGAATTGATTGAAAATTTAACTTCGTAACCACCTTTTTCAGTTGTAGTCACTAGTTCAAGTTGTATTCAGATCCATATCAAAAACAAAAAAGTAAAAAAGCAAAACAATTTTTTATTTGTAGAAATTTGGATTTTAATTTTTTGGTTTTCAATGTCTTTTCACCCCCCAACACACAGACTTACAACCTAAAACCATTACTAATGCATTCCAATTTTTCTTTTACAACCTACCATTTCAAATTGAATTCATGCCAAAAGGCGGTGCAGTGCTTATCGAAGGTGTCCTATTTCGAGCCAAATATTTGGGCTCAACCCAACTGGTGTGTGAAGGTCAACCCACTAAATCCACACGCATGATGCAGGCCGAAGAAGCCGTGTCAAGGATTAAGGTCAGTATTTAACGACATATTTATTATGATTGGAGTGTTGTTCTAATGAAGTTCATTTCATTTGTTGCTTAAGAAATTCTAAATTTCTTTCACCTCCATTCCAAATTTTAATTTTTTTGTAGATAAATTATTATTGGGCTAATAAAAACAATTAAATTAACTGATAAATTATATATACCTTAAATTTAAGTTAATACTAATATTTGGTATTTGGTATATTATATCACACATGCAATCACATTCAATTGAAGCTGTATAAAAATAAATTTCAAACCCCCGTTCCTTAGTGGATCAACACGTCTTAAAACCTTAAAACAGAGGGCCAGATATCCAACATATTATTTTGAACAGCATTCTCTGACGGATAACATTCATATTACAATACTTCCCAAATTCCGGTATTTTTAGGCAGGTTTTTCAACCGAAGTGACTGTAATTTGGTATTTTGAATTAACATTGGGTCGAACATTTTCTTACCAATAATTATCGATGTGACCAAATTTATGATTATGATAGCTATATAACGGCACCCCCATTATTTGGTATTTTGGATATTACGGACACATTAGGTATAAAGCTTTTACTTGCTTCCTCATGTGCGAGAATAAAACCAGTAAGGAAAGTAGTAAAGTCGGACGGGGCCGACTATATGTTACCCTACACCACTATGGGTATATTAAACAGGACTAATAACATGAAATTGGATGAAATAATATATGTGATATTTATCTAAATGAACATGTCATTCGATTGTTACAATGGGACAAAAGTATGTAAATCGACTTCAATCAAATATCAATAGGTCTGTATTCTAAAAAAGGCAACTAAGTAATTCTATGCTCAATTTTGTACGTTGTGCAAAATTTGATGTCAATCTGACAAACATGAGGAGTCTGATGTCCAATTTACTTAAAATCGGGCGAAAATATATATGGAAGTTATATCGTAATATAAACCGATTTCAGCGAAACTTGTCACACGTTATGTAATACTAATTTCAGTACGTTTTGTTCCTATCAGCCATATATTGGATCCTTGGTGAGTCAATTACTTAAAATCAATCCATAATATAACGTAGCTATATCTAAATCTCAACAGATTTTCACGAAACTTGGCACACATCAGTCTGGACTAAATTCAGTACGCTATGCCAAATTTCGTGCAAATCGAAGGATATATAGGGACTTTGGTGCACCATTTACATGAAATCGGACGAAACTATATATGGAAGCTATATCTAAATCTGGACCGATTTTCTCGAAACTTGGCGCTCAATTCAGTACGTTATGCCAAATTTCGTGCAAATCGAAAGATATATAGGGACTTTGGTGCGCCATTTACATGAAATCGGCCGATACTATATATGGGAGCTATATCTAAAGCTGGACCGATTTTTTCTAAACTTGGCAAACATCACTCTAGGCTCAATTCAGTACGTTATGCCAAATTTGGTCCAAATCGAAAGATATATAGGGACTTTGGTGCACCATTTACATGAAATCGGACAAAACTATTTATGGGAGCTATATCTAAATCTGGACCGATTTTTCCCAATTTCAATAGGGTTCGTCCTTGGGCCAAATGAATGAGCTATGCCAAATTTCATCCAATTCGAATAATAAATGCGGCCTGTACATTGTTTACAATTTAACATGGACAGACGGACGGACATGCGTAAATCGACTTAGAAATTGATTCCATGCATATTCAGAAAAGGAACCATGGGTCTATCTCGATTCCTTTTGCCTGTTACAAACATATGCACAAAGACATAATACCTTGTACCACAGTGTGGTGAAGCGTATAAATATGTTATGGGTACCAAATTAGGGCTTTAGGCAAATGACCAATCAATTTCCCGTTTCCGAATATTCAGTCAAAATTGAAAGTGTACGTCGGGATATAAACAAAAAGGCGTGGCAATATTTCCCATTTTCGAAACATTTTAAAATATTCGGATTAAGATATCTCGAAACTTGTGCTTTATTGGTATATGATGTTTGGAAATGTTAATGATACAAAGGAGAAGAATATCTTTGTCTAATACGTTAACCCTCATCCGATTCTATGAAGGGGTCTTTTCAGTTCCCCTTTCCTGAAATGATTGAAACCCCATTTAAAACGGAGATATAGCAGGTCAGAATATTCTACAAAAATCTTAAAAATATGAAAATTCATTATAGGGTTAAAACCGATCTTATTACAAATTTGTACCAATTTTTCCCACTACATGTCGATTTAGATTGGTGGTATAAAAGACAAAAATATTCTTCATCAAATTTTAGTGTAAGTCACTGAAAATAAGAAATCGGTATATTTAACATATATATCGAATATATAGACGACAAGTTCAAAATTTACAATAAAATTGATAATATTGACTTCAGTAAGTGGTAATTAAACACCTTGCAGAATTGTGTCAAAATCTTCAATAAGACTGCATCTTATGAGTATTTCGTCAACGACAATACTATTCTACATCGAATTTCACTATTAGTTACAAAAGAAAAGTTTTTTGTAAACTCGATATTTATTTGTAAAAAATTATCTCTTCTTTGGTTGTATACAGCATCTATTTTGATCAAATTTCGAACATTTTCCATGTAATTGGAAACAATAATTCATTGACCGCCCTATGTTGCTCAAGCGGAACAGTCGACACATGACCATATTTAAACAGTACCTTCTGGCGACGAATCTAAATTGATTTTTTATATATGGGTGCCAAGTCAGAGCTGTATCACGGATTAACCGTAAATTCCCGAATTAAGAATTGACCGCTCTACGTTGCTTAGCGGAACAATTGCCATTCAGAATTGACCGACCTACATTGCTTAAGCGGCGACAAAACTCGTAGATCTCGCATTTTTTTCTTGGGTACCAAGTCAGGGATAGGTCATTCGTCGTACTCATCATTTATTTTAATTTGGCCAGTAAGATGTGTGGTTTCTTCCATTGGGATAATTCTGAATTTCTTCCATATGCATTTCAAAAAATATATTTTAAAAATAGAATTCAAAATTCGTAAAAATTAATCTACCTGTCATATTCAAATATTCTACAAATATGAAATTCCATAATGTCCAATTACAGGCACTTCTGTGAAAAATCCAGCCAAAATCTTCAAAATACCGAAAATAATGAAGAAACGTAGGTAGCATTGTGACAATGTTAAAACTGAACCTATATCGAAAAATTGCCGCAAACATGTTTTTACCCTCCATGAACCATTAAATGCCACATTACAGCCACTTCGGTGAGAAATTGCGTTTATGATCTTCAAAATACCGAAAAAGGGGCGGGACCTTTATAAGGTCCCTATTGGCCTATATTGAACATTTTCTGTAAAGTTTGTCGCCATTCAGAAACCCTACTTGCTAAATTACATCCTCTTCGATGAGCATTCAAAATAAAATTTGCTGGACCTATATTCAAATTTTTTTGCAAAGATTTTTATCATCCTCAAATTTGGCTAAAACCTACAAAATTTGTCAAATATACTTATGGAGGAGTATTTCAAGTATTTCGAGGAGTTGCAAACAGAAGAACAAATTTAATATACACTTTACCTTTGGGGAAAAAGGGGTATTACATGGAGTTACCACAAAACATAGACCAATAATTTTTGATATGAAGATTTGCATGCAATAAGAACCCAATAAAATATTAAATTAAAGACAACTTGGTTGATAAAAAATCCTCAAACCGAAAATAGGAACCTATACCTGGTATAGGCTACCAAATTTTCAGTTCTGTATCTCATTGCCTTCAGAAGACAGCGCGATTACAACAGACGGGCGGACATCGCTAGATTGTCTCAGAATATATTCATAGGGTCGTATATGGAATGACAAAATTAATATCTATACCACCTATAATATTTAATTGTTTTCTAAATCTCCTTGATTATCCTGTATTTATCTTTAGCAGATATTTTCATAGAAACTTTTTTGTTACCCAACATAATATCAGTTGTAAATAAATTATTCCATAATCTATGTTTGTAACCAGCCCTAAGAGCCCTTCGACGTTTTATTTTAAATTTCTTTAAAAGTTTTGTTTTTCTAATCCTTATAACGAATTTAAAACGAACATCTCTCTTTAATCCTTTCTTTTTGGTGAATGATAAATATTGAAAAACTTGGAACATAAATCTATGTGGCCCGTTAACTCTTGATATATATACGACCTCAAAACACACAAATATAGGCTCTGGTAAGTAAAAACTTCAATCGGAAATAACAAAGCCCATTTTCATCATCTGTACATCACAAATGTATTTCAATATTTCTAAATGGTGATGGTGAAAATGGGTGCAAACTTTCTTGTATGCATATCGTTTTAATTTTTTATTTCAAATCACTTTGCATACGCTTTTAAAATATATTTTTAGTTCATACAAATTAAATTAAAAATATTTAATTTTATCTATAATCAATTATCTCCCTCTTTTAGGCACCCGATGGCGATGTCCAACCCAGCACTGAGGTGGATCTATTCATATCCACCGAAAAAATTATGGTCTTAAATACCGACCTCAAAGAGATCATGATGGATCATGCACTGCGCACAATTTCCTATATAGCCGATATTGGAGATTTAGTCGTATTAATGGCCCGCCGCAGATTTGTGCCTCAGGACATCGATGATGCCCCCAAACCGAATCGAACACCCAAAATGATTTGTCACGTTTTCGAAAGTGACGAAGCCCAATTTATAGCCCAATCGATTGGGCAAGCCTTCCAGGTGGCCTACATGGAGTTCCTTAAAGCGAATGGAATTGAAGATCATCGTTTTGTTAAGGAAATGGACTACCAGGAGGTGTTGAATAGTCAAGAAATTTTCGGCGATGAATTGGAAATTTTCGCCAAAAAAGAATTGCAAAAAGAGGTGGTGGTGCCCAAGGCGAAAGGCGAGATACTGGGTGTGGTTATTGTCGAATCGGGTTGGGGTTCAATGCTGCCGACCGTTGTTATAGCAAATCTAATGTCCTCGGGTGCAGCGGCACGTTGCGGCCAATTGAATATCGGCGATCAGCTGATTGCCATCAATGGTTTGAGTTTGGTCGGTTTGCCGTTGTCCACGTGTCAGACTTATATCAAAAATACCAAAAATCAGACTGTAGTCAAATTCACCGTGGTGCCATGTCCCCCCGTGGTGGAGGTGAAAATCAAGAGACCCGAAACTAAATATCAACTTGGTTTCAGTGTACAAAATGGTGTGGTATGTATCGGAGAGAGAGGGGAGAAGTTGCTTGGCATTTATAAAATATTTGGAACTGTAATGTGATTTTTGTTTTGTTTTACAGATTTGTAGTTTACTAAGAGGCGGCATAGCTGAGAGAGGTGGCGTCAGAGTTGGCCATCGTATTATTGAAATAAATAACCAAAGTGTAGTGGCTGTACCTCACGAGAAAATTGTAAATCTATTGGCCACTTCGGTTGGTGAGGTAAGTAATGTTTTAAAAAAATACATATAAATTGTGTTGCATGGTGATGTTTGAAATAAAAACTTTCTATCCATACATCATGCCTTCATTAGACTTTTACAAAAAAAAAAAAAAAAAAAAATACCCTGTACCACAGTGTGGTGAAGGGTATAAATAGCGGAATATTTTTTTAATAAAAAAATAATAAAAACCAGTAAGGAAAATAGTAAAATCGGACGGGGCCGACTATATGATACCCTTCACCACTATGGGTATATTAAACAGGACTATAACATAAAATTGGATGAAAAAAAATGTGATATTTATCTAAATGTGAATCTACCTAGATCTATCCATAAAGTATGCCAATCGACTTCAAACAAATAAAAATAGGTCATCCGTTGGGCTATGTCTGCACTTCTAGAAAACGGAACTACGTAATTCTATGCTCAATTTTGTAAGTTGTGCAAAATTTGATGTCAATCTGACTAACATGAGGAGTTTGATGCCCAATTTACTTGAAAAATAAATAAATATAAATAAAATATATAATATATAATTCAAATATTGAGCGATTTCAAACAAACTTGTCACAGGTTAGGTTATACTAATTTCAGAACGTTTTGTTCCTATTGGTTCCTTAGTACGTCAATTACTTAAAATCAATCTATAATAAAAGGGCTCAATTAAGTACTATGCAAATCGAAGGATATATAGGGACTTTGGTGCACACATTTACATGAAATCGGACGAAACTATATATGGGAGCTATATCTAAATCTTGACCTATTTTCACGAAACTTGGCAGACATCATTCTAGACTCAATTCAGTACGTTATGCCAAAATTCGTGCAAATCGAAAGATATTTAGCGACTTTGGTGGACCATTTACATCAAATCGGACGAAACTATATATGGGAGCTATATCTAAATCTGGACCGATTTTCTCGAAACTTGGCAGACATCACTCTAGGCTTAATTCAGTACGTTATGCCAAATTTCGTGCAAATCAAAAGATATATAGGGACTTTGGGGCACCATTTACATGAAATCGGACGAAACTATATATGGGAGCTATGTCTAAATCTGGACCGATTTTCACGAAACTTGGCAGACATCATTCGAGACCTAAATGATTAGGCTGTACCAAATTTCGTGCAAATCGAAAGATATATAGGGACAGTTTACATTAAATCGGTTAAATATATATATATATATATATATATATGGGAGCTATATCTAAATCTTAACCGATTTTTCCCAATTTCAATAGGGTTCGTCCTTGGGCCGAATAAGTAACCTATGCCAAATTTCATCCAATTCGGATCATAAATGCGACCTGTACTTTGTTTACAATTTAACATGGGACAGACAGACGGACGGACATGCATAAATCGACTTAGAAAGTGATTCTATGCATATTCTCAAAAGGAACCATGTGTCTATCTCGTTTCCTTTTGCCTGTTACAAACATATGCACTAAGACATAATACCCTGTACCACAGTGTGGTGAAGGGTATAAAAAATAAAAATGTTTTTAGTAAAAAAAATAAAAATGTTCTTTTTTATTATTCATAACTAATTTTTGAATTTTCTTTTCTCATTCATTTCCAGATTCTAATGAAAACAATGCCTACATCAATGTTCCGCCTGTTAACCGGTCAGGAGAATCCAATTTATATATAAATAAGAAAATATATTATTAGAAATATAACAAAATGAAATAATTAAATTTAAGGTAAACATATTAAAAAATAAATATATAACCACAAATCAACAAAAGAAAAATCGAAAATACAAAAAAAAATTTAAACCAAATAAATGCGTAAAACACAAAAAAATGTATCTCGAATCTATAACTAGTCTAACAAAGAAAAAAATTAATAAATATAATTTATATTTTATTAACATGAAACTATAGTAACTGTCCTTAACAAAAAAAGAAAAAAACTATCTATAATTTGCTAAAACAAAAAAAACTCTTTTTCTTTAGAATGCATATAAAAAATTAATAAAAATATTTAAAATAAATAAAAAAAATTAAAACAAAAAAAATAATAATTGTAAATCTAAAACCAAAAAAAAAAATGAAATTATATATGATTTATTTATTATTATATATACAAGAGAAATTATAAATATATAAAAATAATTATATACTATATATACCGTAACAAAAATTAGAAAAAAAAAACAAAAATAATAAACTGTTAACTATATTAAAAACAAATTGATTAAAATCAATAGCAGATTGGAAATTGAAAACAAACAGAAACCCAAAAATAACATCTAGTATTATATTTAAAAAAATTAAATTGCAAATACCTAAATTAAGCATAACATGTATTTTTGCGAACAAAGCTCTCTACTCTACTGTCTCTATCTATTTATCTTTGTATTGTCCTTTATTTATAAACCAAAAACCAAATCATATATCCTTGTGTTGAAAATCAACCAACCACCCAACTAAAATACAAAATAAATAAAACACTATATTTATTCCAAATTATATTAAAGAGTATTTACAAAAAATTATATACAGGAAGGTCCCAATGTGTATGGGGAAATTAAAAAAAAACAACGCACTTAAACATCTGATCTGATTCGAGTTCTCCAACTTTGTAAAACTTCTTTACAATTGTGCCGTGCTATGATCGGTTCACCATTCGGATTCGACTATAAGAATGAACTACCATTCTCATTTATCACAAATGGAATTGGTTAAAAATATTTTATTTCAACTGTCGCCAGAATAATACGTTGGAAAAATGCTAAAACAAAATAATAACAATCAGATGTGTGTTCCCCTTTAAACATAAGGACACATTTGCTAATGTCAGCAAGTTTATCCGAATTTTGCAAACCTAAAATTGAAATTTAGAAAAAAGAAATTCCCTTTTGTGTTATAATTGTTGGTGGAGACTTCTCATACGCAGAATTAAATTGAAATTTAGAAAAAAGAGGATAGTCTTTCAAATCTCTTTTTGCATTATAATCTTTGGCGGAGTAAGATAAGTTGGCCAGAATTCTGAAACCTGTCGAATTACCTTATTCTTTTCCAGTGACTTATATGAGGACATTATTCCTACAAGTCTGAATTTTGTTTTGGCTGTAGCAATTGCAGAACCGCCCTGACACCTGATCGCTCATGGCAAATATACTTGACACAATAAAGCCTTTAATATGAACATGCTTGAGAGAATCAGTCGGTGTTTCCGACAGATATTACTCTCAGTCTATGGCATATGTATGTAGTATGCATCAAATCGGGGACTCACTCTAATATATTTTTCTAAATTTTTATTTATTTGAATTTTGCGATGATAATTTGAATGAGTTTTAAGTCAATTTTTTCTTCTCGATTTTAATTTTTCAAGATTTTCAATGGGCTGGTAAATCAATACAAATGCTTGTTAAAGTTTGTAACTTTGCACATATATATTTGAAGATTTAAAAAAGAAGAAAAATAATTTACAAACAATTTTTGTTATTGTTTTGTTGTTGTTTTTTTTTTTTAATTAAAGAAAAGTCCTTATTTTTGATGGCGGGCATGATAACTCCTCACTGGAACATCGGAATCCGAAAATTCCAACGGTGTTAGAAAGAGTACATGTCTAGCTCTCGTATGAACTAGGATTATTGTCTTCGCTCTAAAATTAACAAAATGGTGGAACTTTGAAAAAATATTTTTGGAAAATCGCCGATTTTTTACCAAAAACCAGGTTAAAAAATAAGGAAGAGCATCACCGATTGGCTTTATCCTAGTTCATACGAGAGCTATACACTCCCAGAGAAACGTTGCAAAATTTGAAACCGATTGGATTATTAGTTTTTGAGTTATCGTGCCCGCTATTAGCAAAAAAAATGTTTATGTATTCTAAAAAGTTAAAACGGTGTTAAGTTCGTACCGGCCGAAGTTTTTATACCCTCTACCAAGAGGACGACATTCAAAATATGTAAAATTAATGTGGGCTCCTAGGAGAAAACTAATGTTGTGATAGGATATTCAAAGTCCTATCACAACATTAGTTTTCTCCTACAAACCGTGAGATCAATATTGATCATTTTGGGTTGTGAACTCGTTTTTAATTGAAAAATGTGTTCAAAATCCTTAAAATACAGAATATCAGGTTAGAACTTGAGTCAGTATTAATAACTTTTGGTATTTGCATGTGCTATACATTGATTACCCAAAATACTAAATTACAGCCAGTTCGGTAGAAAAACGTGTCACAAATCTCCATAATATCGAATATTGGGGGTACCGTTATATGGGGGCTACCCTGATACTTGGGTCAATATTAATAATTTTTGGTACGGTCATCTGATATACAATGAGAACCCAAAATACAAAATGATAGCCAATTCGGTTGAAAAACTTTTCCAAAATCCCCAAAATACCGAATATTGGGGATATCGTTACATGGGAGTTACACCAAAACGTGGACAGATATATCCTATTTACAATACCAAACTTTCTAGAAGCAGTAACAATGTCTCTCAAAATTTGAGAGCTCTGTCTTAAATATTGCGATCTCTATCGTGGTTTCAATATACGGACTCATAAATCCACATGGAATTTATTCAAGAATATATATATATATATATATATACTTTATTGGGTTTCCGGTGAATATTTCGAACAATATGAAGTAGACCGTGAACATGATACCAAAACTTAAATTGCAAACACCAATAATTAAATCGCAATTTCCAAAAACACCTTCTCAGTAATGGTGGCCGTTAGGCCCCATCTTTCGATACATTCTATGTTTGTAATATTTTGTGCAAATTGAATTTCTTTTTCTTCGCATAATATTAAAAAGTAATTTTTCCAAAACTATAATGTCAGGAGGAGTGTACCGATAGTCACCTTCTTCGAACGTGATTTATGTTTGGAAGAAATATTGAATACATAGATCTTCAGTTTTAACACTTGAAAATGCGTGCACGCTGGTATGAAATAACAATCAGATTATTATCTAATTTTTATTGAGTAAATCAGAAAATCCTGAAGCAAATATGGCGGCGCCTAATTATACTTTGACCGAGTAGATAAGTGATATCGTTGTTTTAGTTAAAGTCAATCACGGTCAGAATATAAGAAACTGATTCCGCAATGGGTTTAGAACTTGATATTAATTACCTACATTCAAGTTGGACCCATATGATGTCATAGACAGAGTAGTGAAGAAATTATTATTGTAACTAAAAGCCAGATAAAATGTATTTTTTCAAGTACTGCTAAAGGACAAATGCGAGTTGAAATGTGGATTATAGCTGAAGCCGTTTGAAAAACTTCAATCTAAGCTAATCTTCTATTCTGCTGATCGTGATCCTAAACTTTCACCACTTATATCCGTCCTCATAAATAACTACTCTACAAGAGTGTTTCTACTGATATATCGTTTTGTTTCAAATTATACAAATTTACTATTACTTTTTTCAAAACGATAATAATTTTAATTCCCCCATATACACTTTGGGATCATCCTGTATCAAACGAAAAAAGTACATGCCTAGACGTCCATAAATAGAGCTAAAAACAAAAAAACTATATAACAAAAAACACCCCTCCCTCGAACAACAACTATCGAATTGATTGACTCTGCTTTAGTAACAAATTTAAAATGAAATAACAATTTATTATTATTACGTATTATTAGGTAGTTCCGATTCTATATATTCCACGCATATATAAAACACAGAACCAAAACCATAAAAAGAGATCCCTAAACAATGGAAATTTACTTTGTATTGAATATAATTCTCAATCTCACACACACATACACACAAAAAGAAATAACTAAACTTGTATTCAACTTAAAACCTAAACTAAACAACAACAAGAATAATATCAAAAGAAATCCAACCAAATAAACACTCGCTTGATTATATATATATACATACATATATTATTATAAATAAATAAATAATTGAATAAAATAAATAAACAAACATATTTAACAACAATAACAAAAACTCATTTAGTTTATTTTCTTTGTTTCCGTTTAGTCCCATTTGATGGTCTAAATTCCTTCAACAACAAACAACTATACATATATAACTAACTATATATATCTATTAATTTAGCATTTATACTAAATCTATATATGTATATTTACAACAAACATTTACAAAACAACAACACAAAGCTAATCCGCCACAATTTTGAAAACCAAAAACGAACAAACCCCAACCAATAATAATGACCTTTTGCGAATGGAAATTTTTAGCGTCCTTTACAACAAACAAGAAATACATACAACAACAAAAATCTGAAAGCTTAGCTTAGTTATTTAGTTACAAAATTATTAAACGATCAAAAGAATAAAAGTTATATTATTAGTATATCCCTAACCCGTGTAACCCGTTTAGCTTAAGATTTTCTACATGAACTTCTCGTTAATATTCACAACAAATTTAAGAAATAGCTATCTATCACCATACTTATACATACATTTCATTTAAAACTAATCATGGAAATTTGTCGTTTCTAATCATATTTTGATGATTTGTAGAACAAAAAGAATAATCTTTTTTCATTTAATAAATTTTGAAAATTTCAAATTCGATTCGGTTTCTGGCCTAGTTAGCATTACATCATTTTAGGAAGAAAATTGTCATAATTTTTATCATAATTTACACAAATAATAAAATCTCCTCTCTAAATTCTGTAATCGTTTTTATAACACACAGACGTTGTTCGTT